TCCCTTCCCTTCCCTTCTTGTTCAGCTTGCTCGCCCACGCTGGGCGCCTCGACGCCTCAGGGGAAGAGTCCCGCGGTCCCACCGGACCCGCGCGGCCCTCGCCGTGAGGGTCCCAGTGCAACTCCCCGCGCCTCACGGAGGCGCCCTCCGTCCAGTCGCGCGGGTCAAGCGAAGTGGTCAAGGACCCAAGTGGCTGACGATGGAGGAAGACAGACCCAGGGACCCAAGTGTCTGATTGTTGTGAAGACCAAATTATCATGTTAACTGGTAATAAGTTGCTAGTGCCTTGGTCCTCCACTAGGTGCGAGGGAAGAGAGGGGGAGAGAGAGAGAGAGAGTGTGAGAGAGAGAGAGAGATTGAGGGGGAGGGAAAAAGAGAAGGAGGAGGACAGGTGTTCCCAGCTACGAGCGAGCGTCCAGGGACACACCAGAGAGGGGAGAACCTGAATCTTACATTCAGGAACACCCCAGAAGGCAAAGAAGGAAGGGGGAGAGAAAGGGGGGGCGGGGGCTAAGGTCCCGGCTGCGAACTGCTGACCGCTGCGGTCACGTTCAGGCATAAGCCATCTTAAACTCAATCATTCAGCAAGTCTTGGCAAATAACTTTGGCCTGAGCCTGCTTTGTCCCGTTCGCGGGCAGGGGGAACAGCGGCTAACCCCGTTCGAAGGGGCCAATCCTCGGGGCACCCCGGGCTCTCACAAGGAGAGGCACACTTATAGAAATGCGTACTGACTTGACAGCGGTGCCACACGCCGGCCTAGGTAAACCGCCTAAGGTTCCAGATAGAAAGTTAAAGTCTGAGGCCTCCAAAACCTATAAACACGAAAGCGAGCGGCGGCGACAGGGTGACGACGGGTCGTGCAAGGCTGCGGAGCTCAAAGGCCCAAAGTTCCAAAACGAATGTGTCGCTGCACTAGCCCTTTACTGAAGGAAACAACGTAGTAGACAGCTTCTGCTTTACGTAGCTTTCTCTCCACGCAGGTACGTCAATCCGGCGTCCCGGATTGATTGCACAGATGCAACACTGGCGTCTTCGTTGGTGCCAGTCCAATCCCTGTGACTCCAAGGGTCACACACACACACACGCTCGCATATGCTCACACATGCTCACGTCGCAGTGTCCTGCGCCCGCGCCAGGCACCGGCAGGAGGCTGCCAGCCTTTCTCAATAACTGCATGGGTAGAGTCAACCCTCAAGCCAGATGAAGGCCCCTGGATGAAAACCGAACATGCAGTATCCTATCCCAGAAGAGACATGGTTGATTTCTGCCCATCCTATGCGTGGAACAGTTCACAGCAGGTGGAATGGTTGGAACATGTTTCGTTGTGCCCTCTGGAGCCAGTTCAGCCCATGCTCACGAGCCAGGAGGAAGGCTTGAGAGGTTGACCATTCTACCGATCAGTAATTCGTCTCACGTCTCTTGGTGTAGCTCGACTTGGACAGAGAGATGAACCAACTTCGTCGCGGCTGTGTCAGTGCAGCTCGCCTAGAAGTGAAGGGTTTGAGCTTTCCTCCACATCACACTGGGGCCTCGGTCCACCAAACGACAGGGGAACAAACTTTGGGTGACTGGGGGAGCTTGCTTTTGCAAGTTGCGAGCGAAGCAGCCACTGGGCAAATCATTTACTCAGAAATACAGCAAACCTTTCCGCAACACCATTTCCCCGCTAGAGGGTATCCTTACCACGATTTGTCAAATATGGACAACGACAAGCATACTTTGACTGTGACAAGAATTGAGTGGCATCTCGACAAGCGTGCAGATGCACATCCATGTCTTGGAGAAACCTGGAAACCAGTTGGAAACCAGTTTGCTTAGACGGACACACGGCACACGCGACAAACAAACAAAACGCGCGGATGCTTTTTCCGCACTCATAAGTACAGAAAACGCCCAAGTTCCTGGAAGAATTCGTCAACTTTGGACACCCAAACACAACATTTTCCACACGCCATGCTCCACTTTGGGTCGATTTGTTCATTCCTCAGTCCAAGCGCCGCAGTCGACCTCGGTCTCCGAGTCAACCGAAACGAAAAGCCGAAAAAGACCCGCCCGAACCGCGCTCGCCTCATCGCGACGAACCACGCCCTTCGGGTGGAGGGTCGGCGAGGTCGGCGAAGAAACACCCGTTTGACTATAATAAAGAAACAAACACAATGGATGATTTTTATGAACTTTTAGAACCAAAATGACCAAATGCATGTACTGCAATCAGTTGAAGTTCAAGGTGACACATCGATTTCTTGGAGACCGCGCACATGTTTGACTTTGATTTCAATTCTTTGGGGTCATCGATCATCTCTTTGGTTGCAGCTGTTCTGCTCAAGCAGGTAACCAGTTAGACAGAGAACAAGGACGCCTTTCTGTTGCGGGTTGCGGGTTGGACACGCACAGGTGCCTACGAGTCTACGACTGACAGATATGTTTGGATTTGCATGGATTTGCTCATTTACATTGACTTGTTCACTTAGATACTGTTGCCACAAGTGATCAGTGTTGCGAACTGCTGACGAAAGTCCTAGTTGATGGAGCTCCCTTTTGTCACCTTCATCCATTTTTTGTATCCCTTTCTGTTTCCATTTGTCTCCCTTATTTTTGTTGCACATCCACAAAGGCTGGGGGCACTGCGAAAACTGAACAGCCATGAAACACCCAACAGACTATATGGTTGAATCAGTTTTGGCAGAGATGAATTGTGAAGATCTGTGATATGCATCAGACGTGTTGTTGGCTATCCCTGTTGAGCCGTTGAAGCTGGAGAGGTCAATCTTGGCCCGATCGAGTTCGTTTTGAAGGCGGGATGTGCAAGCATGTGGAAGCCTGGACCATTTACGAACAGGACACTTAGGACACTTCTGTAGGACTCTTCCTTGATGCCATTCATCAAACCACCGACCTGTGCGCCCTGTTTTAGGTGCCATGTGTGGTCGGGAGACTGGAGCCGAGTCTTGACCCCAGAAAAAAAGACACTTGAAGCGTTTGTGTTTAAACTGCACCTGGGTTGACCTCTTATGTAGGAGGACCTGGGCACTTCGGCTTTCTCAGATATCTTCAGACATCGACTTTCGAACCGTTGAGGCTCGAGGGTCGCACCGATGGCCTCGGCTTCAGCCTCGGGGCTCGGGTCTGCCCTCCCAGATGGCGGCACCTTTCAGCAGATTCGGTGATGGGATCCAAATCCAGTGGTGCTAACCTGTTGTTCACAGTGCAGCTTACCCTACATGGTCATCCTCCTTCGTCCAATGCAACGCAGGAAGAGCACTGGTCCTGAGCACTACTTGGCCAAATCACTCAGGACTATTGTGCGGCCAGGCTCTTGCAGATCGGGTTTTGCTGTGCAGCACCACACAGCGCAAGAAGTGCTCCTCGAAGAATGTGAAGATGGGACACGCAGGACAAGTCCCTGACTTTCCCTTTTTGCTTGCGTGCTTGTGCTTCTCTGCCACTAACGCAAGCACACAAGCACTTCTTCAAGTTGCTTTCTTTGACTGAAAGGATTCAGGCCATTGACATGAGATACATCTCATCTCCTTGTGCGCAACTCCTTGAGGAGTGCACTGCAAGGCTATCCATGCACCAAACTATGGCAGTAGTAGACTTTGACAGACTTTTGGCTTCAGGCTCTCAGGCAGTTTTCACGGACTCAAGGGGCTAATGGTACAAGTATGTACAAGTACCAACTTGAGCATGGGTCTTTGAGGCATCGACCGGAATTCGTGGCACTTCACATCATTTTTTTACCATTTGTGGCGGAGTGGAATACGTTGGACGGCCGGACGTGGCCCGAACACCGTGGCCGGCACCGTGGCCCAGGTGCCATGAAGGCCATGAAGGCGGTCGGCGTCGTCTCTGAAAAGGCTGAGCTTCCGAAGCCAAAGTTCCACCACAGTGGCTTGGGTCATATGGCGCTGTGAGCAGCACTCTGCATCACTGATGCAGTTTCTCTTTGTATGACCTCGTGATGACTCTTGGCCTCAGGAGTAGCAGCGTCACCGTGAAGGCCAGGCCCCATCGAAGCCCAGGCGGTCACTTGTTCGAGCCGCCAGTGGCCAGGCAGTGGTCGGACCAGTTGGTTTGAGCAGATGCCACTGCAGCCCCAGTTGTTGCGACATGATGCGGGCCATTCTTGGAGCTACTTGCATGCTTTCAGAGGGCACATGTGCCCCAGGACCTACTTGCAAAACCTCTGCAAGAGTCAAGTTCACGACCCCATGGAGCATTCAGACATAGTCAGACTGTGTAATGCAGCACAGCCATGATCAGCAGCTGATTGTGCAGCTTTTGAGCATAAAGTACACCAGTTGTTTGCCGATTGCCATCTCCACATTTGGGGTTTACTTCTTCGCCACCCTCGGGTCCCGCGTCACCCCCTCCTCCAGTCCGGCCACTGGGTGTGGGGCAGTCGTGGGTGGTCAATGACGTGGCCTCAATGGCATAGGATCGTGAAATCGCATGGATCTGCCGTGATGGGCCCAGGCGTTTTTCCGGGGTGACATTCTTATCCAATTTGGTTGGCAGTGGCCATCTACTACAGAAGCCCCACGCCAAAAAGGCAAAAAAAACACAAGAGCAGCTTCTACCCAGCTGATTGCTGAGACATGCAGCAAACCTCAGACTGTGCGGAGAACGGTGAAAAAATGACAGGCCCAGCAGCACTGTGCAGTAATCTCTTCAAATGCCTTGAAGGTTGACAGACACAGCAGGTTTGCTGATAAGCCTTCTGGGACGAGAGCGGATAATCAGATTTGATGAGATGTTTGCGCAGGGCTGTGATCTTCGGCTGCTGAGGCCCAACACCCATTTGTCACTTGTGTAGAGCTGTTATCATGATCTTGTCCACCATGATCTCCTTTCTTGGTAGTCAGTCTCCTTTGAAAGCAACACCGATGTTGTCTACAAGGGAAGAAACCAAAGCCGCCACTGGATTCAGGTGATGCACGTGCTTCCGTCGCCGCTTCCGTCGCCGGTTACGTCTCAAGCCGTCTGGAGCGCCGCCGCCATGCTGGGCAGAGCAAAACTGGTGTCCAACGAGCCGCGCATCTGGGTGGCGGACGACTGCGTATCGCCCCAGTGGCTTGGTGAATTCGTGGGTCGAGAAGAAGGTCATTTGCCGCCTGAGTGACCGCTTGATTTGGGGCCACCAGGCGGGGCGTGAAGGGCTGAAAAAGTGGAAGTGGATCAGATAAGTTGATCCAGCAGATTTTTGTTACGGAGTCTGAAGTTTTCATCCCTGTCAGAGCCATGAAAAAGAGCAGCCTTCATAGGAGAAGCACATCTGTTTCCCTTTCTTCACTCCGATCAGGTGGGGGGGGAACCCGCGGGCGAAGTCCAGCCCCAGAGCCCGTGGAGATTTGGAGGGATGCTTCGTTTCAGGTGTTATTGTCCGGTTTAATGCAAGTGAAGAAGAAACACAAACACTGAAAGGGTTCATGCAGACTGTTAATGAATAAGACAGCGTCTACATCTCCCGCATTGCGGGGTGTTATTTTTCTTTACCGTCTACATGATTCAAGCGTTCGGGGACCCAGACTTTCCTGATCTTCTTGATCCCACCATTTTTGGCTGGCTACAGTGTGCCGCAAAGAGATGTAAAGAGATCACCCTGCAATCTCAGAATCGGGGGCTTGTGATGCCCAACTTGCAGGGATAGCAAATAGCAAATCTAAGGTTCCTGGACGCGGTAGACGAGGCCTTCAAATCCAAAGACAGCACCTCGCCAATGGACAAGCCATGACAGCACCTCATCCGAGTCACTTAGAGATCTTAGAGGGTGAAGTTGGACCCCGAAAGGCATAGCGAGGCCTCGGAAGCGAGGAGAGTTGTTCCCCGTTGGCGCGAGGAGCAGCAACGGCCGGGCTTTCAACTCACCTGTGGAAAACGGACATTTCGTGGGAAGAGAACAAGACTCAGTTCAATCAATGAATTGAGTCAACTGGTTCAATCAACCTGAAACCAATCAATCAACTTAATGAGTCCTCAGTTCAATCAATCAACTCAACCATCTTTTGATATCTTTTGCCAATTCATTTCGAGGAACTCACCTGAAACCCAATGGTGCACGAACCTCCATCACTCCCCCCCATTTCCATGTAGCAAAGCACTCCATCGGGCCACTCCACGGGCCGGGTGCATCGGAAAGTGAACGAGGCCATGTGGTGGAGAAGCACAACGGTCGGAAGATTGTGGCACGGAACCTGGATTTCGAGGCAGATGCCTTGTGGCAAGAGTTGCTCAGATCAGAGGGTCGGTTCGGCGATGGAGTTTCTGAACTTGGGAGATGTTTTAGAGTCTTTTTTCTTTAGGCCTGGGAATGGGGATCAAGTCGGGTTGACATGAGAAAATCTTTGAAACATTTTGAAACAGTGTCCCTTGTGTGCGTTGCGTGGATGCATCCTGTACTCAAGTGGAGGCACGTCCTTTTTTGTCCTTTATGAAGGGGCGCTTCAATGCCTGCATGAAAATTAACCTCGCGTACGGCGAACTCATCCTTGCAGAATCCTGTGGTTTGGGTCGTTGGGTCAGGGAATGAGTTTAAATGTAGATGTTGTTGAACACCTCGGCTACCAAGGCTTTCTTTTTTTTCCATGGCTTAACATGGCGCTGTCAGGCCTCACAAATCCCTTGATGCAGTTGCGCATTTCCATACATTCCCTTCAGTCTTGGCTTCTCCGCAAGAGCACTGACTGAGGTTATTTCAGACCATCTCCGACCTGTGTGGTTTGGAGGGAGCTGCGCCCCAGCATCGTCAGTTCATGGTCACCGAGGTCTTCGGTTGTGGTCAGGATGCGCATGTGGACCATGCGAATATCGACGACGTGGCAGCGGGGCATCCGATCGACTTTCTGAACTTGGAAAAGCAAAGCCCATCGCGATCGCATCCGCGAAGGGTAGTGCCAACCATCTCCATCATTCTGTACCTTACTGGGATCCCAAAGGTGCCGTTTTTTTGAAGTCTTTGGGCTTTAGAAGATTTTAGAAGTTGTCATTGGGATAAGGGTGTCTTACCCTCCAAATCTGTTGGCTTTCAGTCATGCGAGGTACTTCAATGCAGTGGGTGGCATTCGTTTTCCAAACGCCGAGGGCATCCACACGATTGCTGGCAAGCGAGGTCGTATGATCCTGTTTGAGAACTACGAGGACAAACTCCGACCGATGCACAAGACGCGTGGAACCGCTTCAGTACTTCTTTGATGTGGTAATTTGGTCATTGCTTTGCTCAGTCAGATGGCACAATGGAATGCTTCAAGTCCTCTTTATAGAACCTTTGGATATTTTAAGATATGATAGAATCCCTTACTTACCTTTAACCTGTTTATGTCATTTTAGGATTCGTTTGCAAAACGCATCCGGACCTAGGTAGTATACGACCGGTCCTACTGGGTCGGTCTGCGTCCGGAACATGTGTTGTGGGGCGGGTCCTGAGATGCAGAGCCAAGGACCTCTGCCCTTCATTACGGCATCTACTTTGAGACGCTGCCCAAGCGAATTCTCGTCCTCGGGGTCCTCGCCAATGAGACGCCCACGATGGACCAGAGTGGCAAAACCACCAAAGGTCGATTGGTCTTCGGAAAGGTCGGTCGTGGGTGTTTTTGGGTGGATTGAGAGTGGATGGCACAATCAGCCCGCCCGCATCTAGGAAACATCTTGGAAGTTGTGCCATCTATCCTGAAACCACTGTAACTACATCCCCTATCATCCCCTTTTTTTGTGAGTTTGAGTTTCAAGCTCAACAATCCCGGTCAGACTCAGACACACGCCACTTGGGAAGGTTGAGCCAAGAGTCTGGCAGGAGAAAAGAAGGTTCTTCTGTGGACATTGGTATACCTTTAGTAGCAATGGCCTCCAGCCGAAAAAAGCGATGGCCTCCAACCTAGTAGCGATGGCCTCCAGCCTATTGCTATACTTGTTATTCTTTTTTTCCGAACTTGAACGGTTTTTTTTCTGGTCCAATGGTCGTTGTGTCTCCAGTCGTAGCGCTCCAGTAGCGCTCCGTCCGAAGGGGTTGATTGAGTCGAACACCGCGGTGGTTTGAGTCGAAGGGGTCGTCGTTTGGGTGAAAGACACGGAGGTAGACCACAGGTTGTAGACTCTTTGAAGCACCTGGACCCACAGGTCGTCAACCACCAGGTCAACCAGGTTGTTTGTTACTGGGTTGTAGACTCTTTGAAGCACCTGGACCCACAAATCCAGTCAAGGTTCGGTCATCGTTCCGGGTCTCTTTTGGGTATACTTCTTTCCAGGAACACATCTGGCAGTTGTTGCTGTCACCCAAGCACAGCTGTGTTCAGTTGAGAGGCCCCTAGAAATGTCCCTATAGTATATCCATGACCTAGTCAGTCAAAGAGAATGACGTGTGATTAGAGAGAAGGAAGAGAGAAGATGCTGGAAAAGTGAGAGGATGCTGGAAAAGTGAGAGGATGCTGGAAAGCTTATTTGCCGATCTTCTTGGCTTTCTGAAATCTAGGCCTCGGCACTTTTTTCAGCAGTCGCTGTTGAGGCCTGATCTATTGTGCTGGCACAGAGAGGGATCCCCTTTTTCATGACAACCCCTCCTATGATGGCTACAAGAGGGGTGGAAGCCTGGCAGCCCTGAGGACCTGCAGAGGTCGTAAGACCTGATGTTTTGCCTTGTCAGATATGTTTTTATATGTTCGGCACGTTGCTGGTGTCTTTGTAACAATAAGTGTTCAAGAATGGTGTCGCCACCTGATTTCTGGCTGGTCTTTTCCTCCAGTTGCGGCGCAAATCATGTGTGCCAGGGAAGCGTTGTTCAAACTGGCTGAGGGGGGTAACAGGTCACTCTTTACTTTTGTCTCACCACCACTCGATGGCTTTTGGGACGCAATGAAACAACGTCAAGTCAAGAAGAGAGGTGTGGGCAACCCCTAAGCCACATCTGAGCACAAGTGGCACAAGCATAGATTGTGGTTGAAAGATTCTTTGGGTATCTTTGAGATTCTTTGAGTACACTCCGACTTTCTAGGATAGAAGTGGATAGATATATCAGATATCACCTGTTTGGTTGAGCAAAACGTTCTTCTTCCAAGAGCCGTGAATATCATGTCCATGTCACTAAGTCCGAGTGTGCTTTCAAACAACCGGTTCCAGTAGGATGAGAGCGGACACAGCTCGCTCAGGAAACACGTGGATGCAAACGATGCCCAAACAGGATCTCATCATTACTTTGGAGATGACTGAGAAAGGGACTGCCTGTTCAATGGTGGGTCGCAGTGTGGGAGGTAGAGAGCTTTGCTACTTGCCTTTGTGTAGACCAGGATGAAACAGCGGTGCCTCATGGGCGAGGCTCATCAAGATGAATCTTACTAAACCATACGACGCCGGACACCAAGAAAGAGCATTCGATTTTGTAATCGATTCGTTCACTTTCTACGGAATCCTCCAGAATCATCGTGATTAGATCCAACCCTTTGGGGAAGACCATCCGAGACTCTCGTTTGAGTGCTGGACAGCGCTGGGCGCGATCCTGTAGTTCTGCTCGTTGACTGATTGACGTGGTTTGAAGCGACCTCCCTGGGTCCTTTTTGCCAGAGAAAATGAACCAATCAAACAAAATCAAACAAACGAGCAACCAAAGAGAAAGCACAAAAAAACCTTTACCTTTAAAAACACTTGATTGAGCCAAGCGAACCAACCAACTAAACGAGGCAACCAACCAAGAATCAACTTGATGGTTTCTCCATGTTCTTCCCCGAGTTCAAAGCACAAGCAACCCAACGTGGCCAGCGAAAGAATGCAGACCAAAATGATCTCATCGCCGAACGAGCATCGCTTCCGGAGAAGGAATTAAAGAAAGAAAGAAAGAAGGCCAGAATTACACAAGAAAGAAAGACAGAAAGAAAGAAAGAAAAACACATAAGGAACTCTCATAGCTGCTGGTTTTGTCCCAACTAATATATAGTGGTTTGTCTGCAACTGCTGAGGTTTGCTGGAGTGTGAGAAGACCGCCGAAGCCGCTGGGATTGCATTTCCTCATCACGCTTTTACTATGTTTTCCTTCTCAGGTTTTTTGGCGTCCACGGCTGTTTAGGATTTCCGGAGGTGTGTCGGAGGAACTGTCCAGGAGACTGAGTTGCTTTTGACTGTTTCATACTTTTCCAAACATTTACAAAACTCATGAATCTAACGACTCCACTGTCAAATTTCAATTAGTTTCGTAATCGTTCCGTGACATGCCAAGTGAACTGTCCAATCACCATCAATCACCTGTACAAGTGTGCGGAACTGTTTCGTCCGAGTCCATCACATTCGTTGAACAACTTACAGTTCCCCCAATCTATTTCCTGTCCAAACGCAGAAAATCCCGGACCATGTGGCACATCGTGGCATCGTAGATCGCAGAGCGCACAAATCATTTGGCTAAGACACCAAGTCAATCCAAGTCATGTTCCGCCACATAATTTTGGCATAACACCAGAACATACCAGAAAAAGGTGTACGTATGAATATACATGTACTAAGTCGTATGTACCATATGTAACAAATGCCCCCGGCCACATGTCTCAGGTTTCGATTGTTCTACTCATTGTTGAATCTGACTCCTTTCGTCTTGTTTTTCTTGCAGTTCCAGCAGCTAGGCCTTTCTTGCAGTTACAGCATCAGGTACGATCCGTCCGGGCTGAGATCTTGAAGATAGTCGACCCCCTCAAGGAGTGGAACGTACTCCTCTGCCGCATGGATGGCCAACTGCTCACCGATGAGCACGACCCCCTGACCATCTCCGAGTGCTTTTTTACAGGTTCAGCCGCCGACCGCGCGGACGCAGCGGGGTCAGGGGACGTGTCTGGCGCGTGCGGCGCGTGCGGCTGCTTGTTGGCTTGAGCCGTGAGCCATACGAGCTCATCTCCGCGGCAAAAACGAGCAGAACCGATGCGATGTCGGCGAAGGTATGTAATTATGACCATAATGTAGACTCTTAGATTAAACAATACCCCCATCTGAAGAGGTTTTGCATGGCTTTACAATCCATGTTTGGGGGCTGTAATTATCAAGATTCTACATTATAAAGAAGATATTGGCCTTGGGAGTGGACATGATTGATTAGGCTGAGGTGCTGCAGAACACCGGAATGTAGCGGAAAAAGGCGATTGGACAAAACTTCACAAGTTTGTATACAGTAGTTGGTCAGTTTCACAAACTTGTGAACAAGTTTCTTAGCAAGTAATGTGTTACATCACTTTAAGCAAGTTTGGTCAGTTTCTTGCTTAAGGGACCGGTAAATTTGTTGGAACTCTGAACAAGATGCAAGCTGCTGTTTTTTTTTCAATCGCAAGATTGGTTGGCATTTAGAGCAAAGTGAACATCGAGGAAAGGGTCGAGCAGTTCTTTATTCACCAAGAGCTAGAGGGTTCGATCGACCATGGATCGTTGCTTAGTCGTATCCAAATTCTACATGAAGGCAAGACATGATTTGTGAGAACACCGGCGCTTGGAATCATGAGAGGACACTGATTCATTGATCTTTGATACTTCATCACTTCACCGGGCGTACAGAAGGTGCCTTCTTCTGTAAGGCGACAGAAGGCACCCGCTCCGTCCTCCGTCCAACGACGGCCCCGTCGTTCCGCCCGAGCAGCCCCACACCGGCGGCTCTGGGCTTTTACCGGGGCCCACACCGACGGCCGCGGCGTCGCTGCCCACCGGCGGACCGCACCCGTTTGGATGTGGCAGAACTGCCCGGGGCGGCCGTTTGAGGTGTGCGGAGAAGGGAAGCGAAGGGTTCACTCCTTCTGTCAGAGAGCCTCGTTGTGTTGATGAACTCCTTACCAGGATGGTGAAAAACATCTCCATTTGTGAGGGTTAGTCTTACTATGTCTTATTCAACAATCAGCATGATGGTGTCCGGCCGTGGACAAGCGGCGACGGATCCACCGCGCCCGCCCCAACTGGACCGACCGCAGCTTGTGACCAGCACTGGGTAGAGGAAGCCTCACCACAGTATCTCTTGAAGTAAAGTCATCCCTCCATCTTTCAGGTACCTGCAGAAACCTCTTCCTGTTTGCAGCACTTTCGGTGTTTCAAATCTCAAATTCGATCCCAAGCCATGGCCGTGATGACAAAGATCTTCTTGCTGAGCATGTTGAGCATGCTGACTTCAGTGGAAGGTGACGCGGGTGACGCGGGGTGACCCGGGGGACACAGCGCAGGAATGCACAGTCTGACAGGGCGACCAGGGACCAGTGGCTTGTTCCGATGCTATGGTATGCTGATGGATGGTCTAATATGGTCTAATAGTTTATTCTTTTCCCCTCCTGCGTGCTCCCTGCGTGCTCCATGCCAGGTTGCCGGGCAGCCGCACCAAACATCGTGTTCCGTTCCGAAAGGGCGCCGTCGGTCGCCGGTTCCGGAGGAGGAAGCAAAAAGTTGAGCGAGATCAAGGGAGCCACGAACCAGCTCTCCCTGAGCTGCCTCTCGGCGGGTCGATTGGACCGCGCGTTCGCCGTGCGCCGGGGGCCCGTCTGACACGCCCATCTCGGGGGCCAAGCGGGCGTTCGGTCCTCTTTCAGGACGGCGGACACAGCGGGAGAATTCGGGTGTCCTTCTGGAAGACATCCGATGGCTGCACCACAGCATTTGACCCACAACATTCCACCGCGAGGTGATTTTTTCTCGTCCCTCCCCCACGAGTGAACGCTAGAAGTAGCGAGCTGCCATGCGCTGCCATGAGCTGCCGTGGGCTGGTGCCGATCCTTTGAGCCAAACATCCTTTGAACCAAACATCCTGCCCCTTCTGTTCTTTTTTTGAAAGGATTTTGAGAGGTCAATAGCAGCTGTGCCACGCTGAGGTGCGGATGTGGCAAAGTCTGAAGTGGTTCATAAGAGGCGAATGCAATGACAGAGGTCTGTGAAACACCCAAATGTGGGGGATTGTCTTCAGAAAGCCATTTTGAACCAGGATCCTGTGTATTTGGTTTGTTTTCCGAAAGGATGCCCTCGTTCCACTGCGATGGAATCCATGTAATGTCAACCTAGGATTAGGGAACCCCCCCCCCTATTAGTCTACCCAGCGTTCAGGCCCCAATAATAAACTAATTTGAACTACTAATTTCCACAATCACCACCCTCTAATAATTTTTTTTCTTGGCTGAAACCCCCCCCTATTAGTCAACCCCCTGTCCTGCCAGGAAAAATATAATTATTCAAATATATATATGTGTTTAATTAGTTTTATTCTTTTTACCTTTTCAATATCTTTTGGTCCATGGTGAAACTGATCTTCTGATCCACTCTTTTCCCATGCCATCTCTTGAGAGATAGCATTCTGATCCACCCTTCTCACATGCCATTTGGCATTCTTCCAGCTGATGCTCTCATCCATCCTTCTTATCATCCTTCTCATCCTGCTCCTGCTTCTTCTCATCCTTCCCAGCAGCAATCTGTGCAGCCATTGTATACTCATATGGGATCTTCCTCCCCAGCCTCTTCCCCTCCTTCCTCATCCAATAGGCAGTGCATTTCCACACATTGCATTCCATACACCCACTGGAATACCTGCACTTGCCACATACCCCAATCCCATCCAACTCAATCTTGGTTTTGGCTTTCAAATAGGCTGATGGGAGCTCATCCACCCTCAAAGCACCACCCTCATTCACCAATTTCCAAGCATCCTCCTGCATCTTATTCAACTTCTTATGCTCTGCCATCATCTTCCCAGCCAATTCTGCAACCTTCTCCCTTTCCAACCTCATCTTCTCCCCATTCTTCTTGTCCTTCTCATCCAGCTTCTTCAAATCCTGAATCCTCTTATTCCTCTCAACTTGCAGCTGCTCGCCCAACTTCCTCATCTTGCTGATCCAGTTCTGGGCAGCAACCCATGGCCATCCAATGGCTGCTGGCCCATACCCCATGGCTTCAGCAACTTCCTGCTCCATATAAGCCAATACAAATACACCACATTGATTGGATCCCTTCTTCTGCCTTATCACCCCATTGTTCCTCTCTAGGGATGGCCTATCCAAGAACTTCTCATCAATGATGCCCAAACTCAGCAATGAAGCCAATAGCAACTCAGCACTTTCCTTGGATAAATCTGATGGTATTTCCAATGTCTCATAGTACCTCACCTGCCTATCAAAAGGCACATCCTTCCTGAGATCCAATACCAGCAAGGTCCAATGCCCACCAGCTGGGATGGGGATCAGGAAGACCTTCTCCTTATCTGCAAATAACCTTTTGGCATGCTCTGATACCTTCTCCCAAGGTGCCATCAAGTCCTTGTTCCCATGCTCATTCTGCTGATGGCCAATGAGGCTGTAGCTCATGGAAGGGTGCATGAACCTCACAGAATCCAACTCATTCATGCTCTTCCCATTGAAGACCACCCTGAGCAAGGCCCATCCCAAAACCAATGTTTGAGTATCAATCCCATCCTCCTTGATACTCTTCTCTGATATGATCTCCACATCACCATTCTGATCAATATAGTCCAGGTCCAATGTATACAGCCCAGCCTCATAGAGCATTTGCAGCTTCACATCCCTGGTCATACTCAGCTGAGGCCATCTCCACACCTTCTCATCCCCCCTTACCTTGGTGATCCATTCTTTTTTGACCCATGCCTTTCTGTCACCCTTGTTCCTCCAATCCTCCTCCAATACCAAATGGACCTCATCTTCACCAACCCCCAATGCTTCACCCTGCCTCCCATACAGGGTTTGTCCAGCAAGCTCATTGGTGACCCTGATCTTCCCCTCCCATCCATCTGGGGGTGCAAATGCTGGTGGTGGCAATGGGACATTGGCTTCATCCTTGCCTTTCTCATCCTTTTTATCCTCCAATGGAAGCTTCTTCTGCTTAGATTTCTTATCATCCTGCTCATGCTTCCCATGCTTTGCATCCTCCAATGCATTCTTCTCTAATGCCTTTTCCTTCACCTTATCCCCCAATGCCTTCTTCTTCATCTGCTTCTGATAGTTCTTCTTCACCTTTTTCATGAAGCTAATCTTCTTGTCCTTCTTCTTATTCTGTAACCCCTTCCTGGTAGCTGATGGCACCATTGAACTCAACACCTCATGCCTGCTTCTCTCCTGCAGCTGATCTCTGATGGCTGTCTTCTCTTCATCATCCAATCCCTTGGCAGCATCTCTCATAGCTTTCCTTTTCTTAACCTTCTGATCCTTCTTCTTCCTCTTTTCTTTTGCCTCATCGCTCATCAAACTCTCCCTCAGCACTGCTGCCTTCCTATAGGCCAATGGCAGTTGAAATTGGCTGGCCTGCACCCATTCTGGTGTGTTCTCATCAGCAACTCCTGGAATGTCAGCATCTTTGTACCAATCTTGATCTCAATGATACATCCATTCAACCAAATCAGCCAATTCCTTGGCCCCTTGAATCCTTGTCCAATTGGGAGGTGTGATAACCCCATGCTTCTCCACATGTGCCAACCTATTCTTCAACCATCCCTCATGAATCCTGTCACTTCCCAGTGGCATATCCTTTGCCCATGGCTCCTCACCACACCACTTCATGATCCCATCCCTCCCTGGCCTCATAGCCAGGAACCCATTCCTCCTGAGCCCTTTCAGCACCCATTGCCTCTCATTGTTTTTCTCAACCATACCTTCCATACCTTCATGTAGGCATTGGGCAATGTCCTTCATGCTCATCTGATACACCTCACTGGTGCCCATGGCCTTCTGATTCTTTGCCATGATCTTATCAACAGATTTCCTGACCAAGCTCTTAAAAACATAGCTGAAATCTGTATCAGTCAATTGCATCATAGCAGTCATCTTGGGAGGAATGATGGCCTGAATCTGATGCGCAGTAAACATAGTCCTCATTGTATCATCTGAAAATGATGCTGCAAAGCAATCCCT